AATAACCTAAGATTTCAGGGGGCCGCGCTTTGGAAATAATTTCTGCTGAACTGGTGATCAGAAGGTTTATAATAGTTTAATGCCTAGTAGAGGGTTTGAAACCGCTCTGCACCAAGGTTTACGGTCTATGGCTCAATGGGGCGCAGCATTTAGTTGGGTTAAGGCACCCTTATAACATTCAAAAAATCTTAATTACGCCAAAATTTTGCATTGCAGAGCAAACCATCTTCTGGCCTTTCTTGCCCTTTGCGACATTCTTGTGTTTGTGATGATGTTCCCGCACTATTTGGCCTCTCTGGACTTATTCGCCAATAATATGCAGTTTCGCTACATACACTTCCATACAAAAGTACATTTCGGAGCTTTAAGTAATTGGTTCTCAGCTGCAGCAATCTGGTTAGTTTTTGCCATTTATTTAGCATTAGATTGCTCTATATCTTCTGGAAAAATACTAATTTAGGTTTGTGCTTGCGGTGTCTGTCGAACGTCTTTTAATAATAAAATTCCCTTTTCGATCGTTAGATAATTATAATGTAAGTCCTGTTTTCTCAAATGCATGTTCTATGATTTTCCCAAATGTTCCAGAATAACTTGCACGATGCGACGCAGTCTATGTTGCACCCATAGCAAATAGAATCTGCACCAACTCTTTATCTTATTTCTTTCCTCTCCACAATTCTTGCACCTCATGCAACTTCTCAACATCACTCACATGTGTGTGCTTTCTCATGCATTTGATTGATGTTGGGCAGTTCACCTCAAGTCTACCAAACATATTAATAATAACAAGCTTTGAAAAAGCGAGAATTTGTCTATGTTCAGCTTACTAAAAAAGTGAATAGACCTTATGTTACAAAAGCTAGGTGGTAATTACAAGCAAGGGACACTTAGTGACCAACAAGAGGCATACCACCAAAATAGATGCGCCTTGAAAAACTGCTTTAGAATCTGTCTTTCATATCCGCTACACGATTCCTAGAAAGAAGTCATGAAATTTTTCTCCCCACAAAAAATAACTTGCACCATGTGAATCTTTCGCTTGAATACTCCAAATTTGCCCCAAAGAGGCGATATGGAGCTTAGTTGTTGAATAGTTCATCCAAAAATGAATTTTTCTTTTTTTCTGGGTGATTTCCGAGTTTTAGAACAGTTAGTGACAGATTATATCTATTTATCCTACGGTCGAAAGAAATTATCAGAACTTCGTCCAGAGAATCGTTGAACAGATTTGGAAAGCAGATTTAAATCAACGTTAATCCATCTAGTTCACCTTCTATTTTAAACCTCTAAAGTCAGTAAGCATCATTTATTTGTTAGAAAGTGATATAATCAGTCGTGCGCATGTCTTTGTAAAGAGTACTCGTTAATTTGCAGCAAGACTGTGCAAATCTTAGGCTACTATGCATGCGCGTATCAAAAATTTGTGCTTTCAGTCTCGCCAGGTCTTCTTCATGTCGATCGGCATTCTTACAGGAACATTTCTGCTGACAAGGTACATTCTCCTCTTTAATTTGAATGGCACGAATGGAAGTTTACGGAGGCTTTAAATACTGACCAGCGGCTTTGAATGGCTATACATTTCCCTAGAAAATTACCAAATTGCAGCTACCATCACGTATCGCACACCTGTATCACAAGGCATGTGTGCTCAGGCACACAGTTGTTAGGCCTCTGCTTCTCCAATGCTGGCAAGAGTTGGGGTAAACGAGCGAATCCAACATCTTCGCTTACCAGAGAATGGATCGAGCTATCCGTGTATTTGAATGCGTCATTTGCGGTGCTTCTACCAGTTTTTGCCGTTGCTGTTTTGAATATCTCACTGATTAGGCTGTTAAAGAAGAGGAACAGTGAAGTGTGTAACTAATCAGATAGCATTTAGATATACGAACTTCAGTTTAATACCATTTTCCCTCCAGGAATTGCTTGTCAACTCTGTAAATGCTAGTCCGGAAGCACTACATGAACAAGAACGAAAAATGACGACTACAGTATTGGCAATAGTCACCAGCTTCACTCTCACTCAAGGCCCGTCAGCTATAGTGACCATGTATCAGATGTTGTATGGCCCCAGGTACCGTAATCTTTAATACGCAGGCTAAAACCCTATCTTACAAATGCATCGTTCAGTACTGCAAAAATCGCCTCAGTAGTAGCCAATCAGCTGGTTCTGACTGGAAAAATGCTCAATGTGGTGTTGTTCTGCATGACATCGTCAACATTCAGAAGAAAACTTTTGCAAACATGCACAAAATGGTTGTTTACAATCTGCTACTGTGATGAAGTACAACGTCGAAGGTAAATCAGCTATCCCTTCTCAAATCTCATTGATGTAGCTAAGTTTTTAGGTTACGTTTATCTCAAAAACATTCAAAGTCGGTTATGACCCAGCGTACATCTATAATCTCTTCGTGGAGTTTTCGAGGCATGCGCTCGTCATTTATGTCCCACGTGTCGCAGAAATAATGGTCGCATTCCATTTTCATATTTTTGGCGTATTTTTGCTGTCTAAATGTTTTTGTGCAGTTTTACGGGGTTATTGTGATCTCTCTGAGCTCATATAGCGAGTTTTTATGTATTTGATTTTGGTTACTTGAATTAAGCGTTCCTCGTTTAGATTATTTTTGTATTCAGCCTGAATCTTTGTGTTTTGGACAGAAGGATAGAATTTGAGACAAAACATTTGCACTGCTGTATTTTAGTGGTTAATCGTTGCATGAATCGTCATGACATTGGTGTATGCTAGTAGGATACTAATCTACCAACTTTTTAAATATCTATCAGGTCATTCCTTCCGTCCGTCATCTTGGGAAATCGGGAAATCTTATCCCGTCTAGACATTCTCCATAAGACTTCTTCGAAATTTGCTGCACTATTGTTGTGGGCTACAAACATTATGCAAATATGTCCTGCAACGGTAGTGTAATGGAATTTATAGCGGTGCACCCTACATACACTCTCGTTGATAAAGTGCAATACTTGCAAATGAAAGCAAGAGAGACTTCCTTTAATGCAAAAACGCTATAAGATTCTATTTACTAATTTGCAGGTCCTCTCTTGTTTGAACCTCGGCATTGTTA